AATATACATAACTTATTTTGTACAATTTAACCTAAAATGCCCTTTTTTGTCCTACTTTTGGATTTTAGTGGCCTACTTTTGTACGGGAATGGTTTACTTGTACACTGTAATAATTGCTCGCTGCGTGCAATCACAGTGACTTTTGTGTAGGGAGTTTCTTTTATTTTTTTCTAGCGCTGTGACTCGTGCACAATTGACTCGTATACAATTGATATATATCTTTTGTACTACTTTTTGATTAGGAATGTCCTAATTTACCCTAGGTGAGATCTAATCACCCTAGATATTTTATATCTAAAATATTTCATTCCGATACAATCTGAATCATATTTATTGCTTTTCGATAGTTGTATTTTAATATCTTTATGCAAAATGACGAGGACGGTATAAAAACGATTTATGAAAAAAAAAATTGAAAATCCATCTTTGATGGGTAATTTTCGATCTGTATTAATTACGCGATTTTTATTTTTATTTTGCGAGTATTTTTATTATTATGCATCTTAAATTCTTTTAATTTGAATAGATACATGCCGCGTTTTGATTTTTTGAAAATATTTTATATCATGTTTACTTGCTTGCGTTTCTGAATGTTATTTATTTGTTTAAGACCCGATTGCATCAACGTTACTTTGATTTTAAGCGAGGCTTAAAACTCTGTCTCTGTCTCTTTTTAGCTTTAAAACGAGACAGATAGAGTTTTAAGTCTCGCTTAAAGTCAAAGTGACATTGGTGCAACTGGGCTTAAATCTACATTGCTCGCTCTCTTCTGTTACAGTTTGTTGCTTGATGTTGGATCGTTAGTGAAGCTACGATACTGATGTATTGCAACATACAGAAGATATTGCAACATGTACGTTTTCAGCTACATTCCATCAAATTCCGATGACAAAAGTATCAAAAATCATTGTTAATTTTACACTTATTGCAGTTTAAGAGAGATTATTGGATCAACCTGAGAATTCCATGAAAACAGCTGACGAACAATTTATTTGTGCTTAATTTGCGCCATTTAAAGTTAAATTTGACGTATTTTTAGATGAAAATACATTTGAGTAGACAAATGTACATTCTAAGAAATTAGAAATTGTACTTTTGCGTTCGAGTGTCCTCGTAAAAATATCAAAAAGCTATATGGAACTACAAGAGACTGATATAATTTGAACTTAATTGATGATTTAACAATTGGAGATTAAAGAATATATAGCTAGTTCGGGTTACACTTTAAGAAAAAATGCATTGATTTACTATAATAGTCATTAGATCATTCATATAGACATATCATAAGTGACATTTTGATATCGTGTAATCGCGAGCGCTCGGTAAATACATAAAACACTGACAACGAGACGAGATAACTGCCTTAAATTTTCAAGATAAGTGACAATTTGAATGACGTAAAAACAGAAATGTTTTATCTCTACAAATTCTATTACATATATGTACTAGTGTATCTGTAACATCTCTTCTGCAAAGTCTCCTAATCAGATCTCCTTTCCAAAATCACGCGCAAATACTATCTATTAAAACGAGTTTATTAAAAGCTGCAGTTAAACATTTTTTTATATATCTGAAAAATTATAAAATTTTAACATTTTATAGAAATTATGAAGTTTGTTAATTATATGTTTGTGTGAATGAGAGGAACAATTAAGGAACATTAAGGAGAGGAACAGTAATAAACAATAAGAAGAAAAGAGAAAGGAGTTAATGACCAAAATGAAAAATAATCAGCATTGCACGATTCTTAACACGAGTGAGAACAATTATCATCAACCGGTCTCGGCAAAACCTTCAGTTGTTTCAGTATCTAGTATCGATTCCGACGTCAGTGACAGAAGAGATGTACGAGAAGAATTGTACGCCGGGATTTTTAGGAGGCACAGAAAAACTATATTGGTATTAGGCAGTTTTCTCAAAATGTTAAGGGTGAATAGAAACATGAACAATTACGCTAGCATTAAACCCAATGACGAAACAGATGAATAAATTAAATTATTAAATCATTGCTTGATCAATTAAGTAATAGAGAATTTACGTTTTAAAGTGTAATTTGAGTGTATGTGTGTGCGCGTGTGCGCGTGTATGTGTGTAGACTATATAGACTTTATCGATATATTTTTCTTTTTTTATATATATATAACAAATTTTTTAATATAATAATTTTTTATATATATAACAGTTAGATTTTTTTTTTTAATGTAACCCATAGAGTACGCGCGAAATATAAAAAAATGTATACAAATAAGTAAACTGGTATAAAAATGAAAGGTCCTGAAGATATTAATTAAATATCTGAATTTATCTAATTTTTTATATTGACCATTTTAAATTGTGTAAAAATATCAATTCTGTATAATATTGCTGCAACTTTGTTCTTAATTATTTTACAGACAATTATTCAAGAATTGTATTAGATTAAATATTATATAATTCATAAAATTTTAACATAAAATTAAAGTAATAAATTGATGAAATTAAATTAATA